GAATCCTACGTAGTGTTTATGAGGTGTCATCCTTCTATGGTAATACTGTAGAGTTTTTGAATTCTCTCTTCACAGTATTGCCACTAATATTATTAACGTTATTATTACCACCATTAATATCTGTGTTGCTGATATTTTTCTTACGATTCCTTATGAACTTATCAATTTGTTTAAGAGGGTAACTGTTGATGATTAAGGTGGCTTTAATATGTCTGGTTTCTTGTTTTAGATCTTTTTTACTAGTAAGAATTTTGGCCCTGTTACAAAGATACTTTACTTTAGATCTAGAATATGCAGATGACATAGTCCTGTTAGGTGAAGACGATGACAAGATGCAGAGTCTTCTGAACACTTTGAGTGGGAATTTGAGAATGTTTGGGATGCGATTTTCACCAACACCACCAAATGCAAATTTTTGCTCCAGGACTGGTCTTCAGCGGTACCGCGGCTAACAATAGAGAGTGAAATGGTTGAGTGTGTTGACCACTTCACCTACCTTGGAAGTAGGATCAACCCTGGTGGGTTAGTTGCCGATGAGATTTCTGCACGGATACAAAAGGCTCGATTGGCTTTTGCCAATTTGCGCCACCTATGGCGCCGCCGTGATATTCGTTTGTCTATTAAGGGTCGCGTGTACTGCACAGCAGTCCGCTCTGTTCTACTATACGGCTGTGAAACATGGCCATTGAAAGTGGAGGATACAAAAAGGCTTCAGGTGTTTGACCACCGTTGCCTTCGTAATATAGGACGTATTCCGTGGTGTCACCATGTGAGTAATGCAGAAGTTAGGTGTAGAGTTTTAGGGAGAAGAGGTAAGTCAGTTGACTAGGTTGTGAACCTTCATTGACTGAGATGGTTAAGACACGTACTACGTATGCCTATGCCCGGTCACCGATTGCCTCGTCACACAATGTTGGCTGAGGTGGGTCCAGGCTGGAAAAAGGCCCGAGGTGGCCAGACTAAAACATGGCACCAATGTATGAAGTCTCTGACTGTTGGTTTAAGCCATGTGGGACGATGCAGACTAGGTGGTTGGCGTCCACGGGATAAGAGGAACTAGTGGTTGGAGACCCTAGGTGATCACATGGCTCAGAACCGAAGTCAGTGTCGCAGATGTATACACACACATTATCCTCATCTTAACAACACTATACCGAATCTAACCATTTTGTCACTCCTCTTTTTTTCTTCTCATACTTTATATTTCTTTTGATTGTATTCACATATCTTCATCCTTCACCTCACTACCTTTTTACTTGATGTGCTGATATGTAGTGTGGCAGGTAACTCGGACCATTACGCAGTAATGCCTGGTCCTATGTTGATAATGATGATGATGACTGAGCCAAATTTAACTGACATAGAGTGAGACGATTTGAAGTGTAAGTAGTGACTTAAATGTGAAGGTTTTCTGTCGACACTAGTGTCTAACCTTCCATCTTGTTTCCGTCTTATTCTGCAATCCAACATCGACAATTTCCCTTCACTATTCTTTAATTCATCCGTGAAGTGGATTGCGTTGACCACTGAATTTATATGAGCGATGACGTATTTGTCGACAACTGGGAGCGGTTGGCTACAAGAACATTTTGGTTCGGCTCCAAAAATCTAGTTTTGATATGCAGATGACACATTTACAGTATTGAAACCGGAGCACATAAATGAATTGCTTAAAGTCAACAGAAACCTTTCATTGTTAACCATCCCTTGTTATATTGACAATAGTCATATAAAAACTGTCCTTTACTCAAACGGCTTTCATTGTTTGAGAAACAGGTCATTATTGGACAGAAATGCCTCAGAGAAGATTTATTTCCATTGATAATGAAATGGAACAAGATACTGATATGAACCAAGTTTTGGAAAACCAAATCAATTCGATGCAAAATAAATAAGGTGGAAATAATGAAGAGAAACATTTGACCTTGAAGAACACTAAAGATGACCTTGACTTGATTGGTGCCCGTTTCATTGTATAAAATAGAAAATGTAGAAAAAAGCTTATCAAGGGCCTAGCTCCACACGAAAAATTATTTATCCAAAAATCTGAAACAAAAAACAAGTATTCGTAAGTAATGGATTTTTAGTAAAACATGGAGAATAGAGAACACTGAGTGGATTTATTCATTTTGCCAAGAATGAAGAACTTTCATTGAATAAGGATTAGTATGATCAGAAGATGAAGTTTATCTGAACAAAAAGTGTTTTCTTTTGCCCAACAGTCTCATCACTTATTAATTTTTTGGTTCCCTCAATGTTGCTGACCTGCCGACGAGGACGAAACCTATATTCAGGGCTATCATACCGTTATTCTCCTTCCAGCTAATATTTATCAAAGTCCACTGCAGCAATGAGTCTCGTAACTTAGTGGTCATATTGCGAAATGATTAAACTAAATCAGTGAGGTGAATTTGATTATATGAAGTTGACTGCTTTCTAGTTATCAATCAACGTACGTAATCCATTCCTACAGGGGGTCATTTAAAGTCTCAACATCTCACTGGTAACATCTATGACTAAGTCACTGAATGACGTGAGTTTGAATGTCAGATGAGACATCGAATCCATAAACGTTATCGACACTCCTTACTTACGAGTACCAACTGGCACGAAATTTAGGTTGACTAAGACTTCTTGCTATTTGCCCCTATCCACCTAACACTTATTGAGTCAATCTACGTGAAACCGAAGAATAAGAGGACAATCTAGGACGACCAACTCACCGTCTCCAATTTGCATTCCACTTAACGGCGTTGCCTGGACTGGCACGTGATGTCTCCGAATGGTCTCCACAATGCATGTCCAATCCAATCCAATCCAATCCATCTCCACTTTCTTCCTCTGCTCACTTGTCAAACGATAGGTCCTTGCTTCGTCGGTTCCTTACCAGTCAGACACTCAGACTTCCTTCTTGCTTATTCCCTTCATTCCGGCCATCTCATCCATCTTCACTATCCAGCGTCGGTGGTAGCTGTTGATGTTATTCATGTCTGTGGTTTGTTGGAAATGATTTTCATAACTGGCCAAGTTTCCAAACCATATAGAAGCACTGAATTGACGTTGGTGTTGAGAATATGGATGTTGTTCACGCTTTATGTTGAGTGCAGTCTAGTGGAGTAGAGTGGAGTGGAGTGGAGTGGAGTGGAGTAGATCTCAACACATTATTTCAGATTACAGAAGGGAGGCGTCTTGATGTCTTTCCGATGCTGGCTGCTATGACATCCTCATCTGTGCAGCTATCGCCACCTGTATTTGAGACGATGCTGCCTATGTAGGCAGGTAGGTGAAAGAGACAACTTCACTCAGATTTCTCCCATTCATGGTGATCGGTGCCTCTTGTTGTTGTATCTGTTCTTGTTGATTGAGTATCTTCATCACCTGTGTCTTCTCCACGTTCACCTGAAGTCTTGTCTTTACTGCCCTGCCCTGCCTCGCCTCTTCTGTCAACTTGTTAGTTTTCGCCTGTAGGTCTTCAAGTTTGCGTGGCATTAGACATAAATCATCAAAAAATATTTTTAAAGACGGACACCACTCATTAGTCCTCCAACTACACTTATTAAGTCAATCTACATGAAACCGATGAATGGTGAGATATGTGGAACAAGTGTGATAATAGGGGAATGGAATTCAAAAAGATAATAAAGGAAGAATGAAGCATTTTGATTCTAATATTAGTAACAAGAAGTGGGTTTAAATTTGGACATACAAGAGTTGGTTCAGTTTGCATATGGTTATCGCTTCTCCAAATATCACTATCTGCCCCTATCTGTCTCAATGTAAAATCATACCAGCTTAGCAAACAAAGAAGAAAATAGTAGTAGTCTGCTGTCCTTAAATGTAACCTTGAATTGAAGATAAGGTGGTTTTTTAAGACGGTCAACCTACGGAAAGCCTAATTGGATAGGACGATATCTGAAGTTTTAGTTTTTGTTCACTCCAGAATATGTGATGTCTAGTGAAACGCTTGTTTAATAGGATCTATCATACTTCAGATATGATGGGTGAAGATACCAGATTAGTGACTGAGAAAAAAGAAAAAGGATATTCTTGGAAGTTCACGCACAGTTGTAGGAATCAGCTATTATCAATGTTTACTCTTCACTCAGCTTCTAGATGAAAAGTTTATATCACTCTTCCATACAGATGAAAGTCGGATAAGAAGATCTTAAGACAACGCGCAACTTAGCTTATCACTTTCGAAAAAGATAACAACAACAACATTATACATATCCTATTGTGCTTGCCATTTGACGTATGTATGTTGTCACACATATATAGGGTGGAATAGTTGAGATATGAAGTTGAGGGTGGGGGTACATGTACCTGAATAGCTTTAAAAACGGTTGGAGTATGGTGAGAGAGAGAGAGAGAGAACCTTCTTCTTCGATTATTCCGCGTTTATTTACTTATAAGTAATTTCACTTAACTAAACAGCATAATTTTATGGGATGACGCTTTAAAAGGAATTTCATGTCAAATTGATGTGTTTATTTTATTCAGAGGTTTGCGAGGATTAATTTATTTCATGGTGGCGTTTATCATTGACTAAAATCAGCTGGAAAGTGACTAAAAAATGTAAGAATATTGTCTTATATCTATGCTGTGTGCTAGTTAGAAATGGAAATAAATTTTCCTAGGCAATTTTTAACTGCCCAATATATAAATATATAAGTCAGTAATTCGCTGATTTTTATTAGTTAATTTCAATTCAATCAGTGGACCAATCAGAAGAAAGGGAATGAATCAAATAATTTATCTGGTTATATCTTGTTCGACGTGATTCTTCATAGTTAAATTCGTCTTTACACTAATGAGAAACATGACTTCCAGGACATCAATAGTTATGAGGTATAATATAAGAAGTATTCAGCAGTTATAACATTCATGCTGTATTCGCATAGCTTAGGGGGAAAAAAAGATAATGAATAGTATTCATCATATCAGAGAAGTTGACATGGACAGATGCCATCACTTACTAGATAATATAACATAAAGCTTATCTCTGACATATGTTTATTTATTTTTGACACATGACAATTCCGCTGACCAAAAAGTTATTCCAGAATCTATTATTCATACACAAGTACATCTTATCAATATTTCCTTTCTATCAGATCACTATTACTATTACCATTATTATTAGTATTATTCTGATACTATAATATGACATGAAATGTAATCAAATAGACAAACTTCAAATTTTGAAATTTGTAGAGGTTGGCGGGGGCGAAATGAACAATTAAAACAAAGCGTCAATGGACCATTGAACACTTGAACATGAAATGAAGTTATTAATGTATATGTTCTTTTATAACATAAAATATCATCTATATTCAGGTGATGAAATACTACAATGTCCAAAAATCCAGTAAATTTATAAAATTGAAATAAGTTTGTCACTTTTGTAGTAAACTTCATTTGAATTCAATATTTATTCTTTTTTCATGTTTAAGGTATAAATAATAAATTAGATGTTTATTTGGAATTTTACTCGAAAATATATGAAAATATTTAAAACTAGTTTTCTCCATATCTATGATAAGTGAACATCCAATTATCTCTGTATTTATACTGAGTGATAATTGAAGGTGAAATGAAAACTTGGACCGCTGCCGGATTTAAACTATTGGGTTACCGACTAAGTGCTCTACCAACTCAGCTACCAGGTTCGACTGTTGACCACAATTGCATTTCACTTCAATCACAAGACAGGATTTCGCCAGACGACCACCATAGGAATTTATGATGAGTTACTACCGCTTGATGGTATTCACATTGGCTGTCCATTTAGGACTTCTCATCCCAATCGTAATGTGAGTGGATTAAAAAGGAGGCGGAGCATCACATTGATTATCGTTTGACTATCTGAGATAGGTGCAATTTGAAAGACTAATATTTATACCGGGTAATGATGGAGCGCGAAACGTAAATCATTATGATGCTCCCCCTTCCTTCTAATTCACTCACATTATGATTGGGATGAGGAGTCCTAAATAGACAGCCAGTGTGAATACCATCAACCGATGGTAATGCATCACGAATTTACATGGTAGTCGTCTGGCGAAACCCTGCCTTGTGATTGAAGTGAAATAAAATTGTGGTCAACAGTCGGACCTCGTATCTCAGTTGGTAGAACATCTAACCGGTAAAACATTGGTCGATGGTTGAAATCCAGCCACGGTTCAAGTTTTCATTTCATCTTTAATTATCACCCAGTATAAATACTAGTCTACCAAACAGCGGTTCATATCTCAGTTAGTCAAATATTATCTCTGTATTGTTTAAATAGTTCGGTTCAACGTTTAATGGGATTTGACTATATCTGAATATTTAAATAATAATAGCATGTTGTGATAAGTGAAGTTGACAATATTATTCTCTGGCTTTAAGCCAATGCAACATAAGATGTCCAAAAGATGCTTCCAACAGATACAAGATAAAGGATAGTGAAACTGATAGAAAATCACAATTCCTGAAGATTGACGTGTAGCTGTTATTCCATTGTGTGAAAAGGTTGCTTCTTATACTTCACTAACATTGTTATCAGAGGTGACACATGATATATATATATATATATATATATATATATATATTGGGTAGGGATTTATTATCTGTAAAAGTCATTTATTACTGACGTTTAATCCAGTAAAACAAATTGTATTTATCCTTTATGCATTTGTGAGGAATGTTAGTATGAGATGTGTAATTTATCTTTAACATGCAAACTGACTATCAATTCAAATTTTCAGTTGGTTTTAGAACTGAAATACTGAAATCAGTTTTGTCAATTCCATTGAAAATAGTAGAGTTGATCAGTTTGGATAAAGAAATAGATACACTATAAAGACACTTTGTATAGACAGAGTGTAGAATGGCAGTCAACTCTGTACCTCAACTTCATCGAGTTTGAAAAGGCATTCGATAGCGTCGACCGAGAAGTAATTTGTCAAGCAGCTGCTTCAACACTACGGTTTTAGTGCCACGAACCTTTTTCAACCTCGTTCAACAGCAGGTATATGCTGTGTGATGAACGCTACATGCCAAGTGATTCACAATGGAAAGCTCAGTGATGCCTTTGAAGTGACGAAAGGGAGCAGGAGTAAGACAAGGCTGCCTACTATCTCAGATGATCTACCTGATTGTGTTGGACTGGATTATGCAACAAACCGTGAGGAACGAGAAGATAAGCATACGTTGTCTGACCGACGAAAAGACACTAGAATATTTGGATTTCGCCAACGACGATGCTTTTTGTCTAATGTCTTGTCGCACAAACTCGAAGATCTACAAGCGAAAACCAACAAGTTGACAGAAGAGACGAGGCAGGGCAGGGCAGTAAAGACAAGACTTCAGGTGAACGTGGAGAAGACACAGGTGATGAAGATACTCAATCAACAAGAACAGATACAACAACAAGAGGCACCGATCACCATGAACGGGAGAAATCTGAGTGAAGTTGTCTCTTTCACCTACCTGCCTACATAGGCAGCATCGTCTCAAATACAGGTGACGATAGCTGCACAGATGAGGATGTCATAGCAACCAGCATCGGAAAGACAGCAATACGTCTCCCTTCTGTAATCTGAAATAATCGGTGTTGAGATCTACTCCACTCCACTCCACTCCACCCCACTAGACCACTCAGCATAAAGCGTGAACAACATCCATATTCTCAACATCAACGTCAATTCAGTGCTTCTATATGGTTTGGAAACTTGACCCGTCATGAAAATCATCTCCAACAAGCTACAGACATGCATAACATCAACAGCTACCACCCATGCTGGATAGTGAAGATGGATGAGATGGCCAGAATGAAGGGAATAAGCAAGAAGGAAGTCTGAGTGTCTGACTGGTAAGGAACCGACGAAGCAAGGACCTATCGTTTGACAAGTGAGCAGAGGAAGAAAGTGGAGATGGATTGGATTGGATTGGATTGGATCGGACATGCATTGAGAAGACCATTCTGAGACATCACGCGTCAGGCCAGGCACTCGAGTGGAACGCAGTTGGGAAGCAACAAGCTGTGTGTCAGAGGGTGATATGGAGGAGATGGTGTGAGGAAGAAATGAGAGCTTGTGGGCAGTGTTGGAGCTAGGTTCAGATGACTGCAGAGAACAGATTGAAATGGGGACATGCTACTGGAACCTTATGTTCCACTAGGAACCCAAGGGACAAATAATAATAATGACTGAAACCATCTGTTTCTCGATGCAAATTTTGAAACAAACGACAAATCTCATAAAAGTGGGGTTTACTGAATTCATAAATTTTAGTAGGACTTGTCAGCTTTCTACTCTACGTACATGATTTTATGTAGATTGTTATTCAGTGGAGGAAGACATATACGCATAATCCACACTAGGACATTGAGTGAGGCATAGCACCAGAGAGTGAATTGTTTAACTAGAACAAATCGAACTATGAATAGGTTGGAGGGGGGTTAACAATTTGATAATGAGGAATAACAGAATAAAATAAGTAGTCAACTAGATATGATTCATAGATAAGAGCACAAAGCCAAAGAACCCAACTGAACTAACACATTTGTTGCTGAAAAAGATTCTTTTGTTGAATCTTGAATTCATAAATGATATTGATGCAGACATCCATAAGAAACGACTATCAGATGCCTTAAATAGAACATACTTCGTCGCCAACCTCCAGATTATTTTCTCCTGCAAGAAACATTTTGACCATTATGTGAAAGATAAGCCGATGAATTTGGCCATATCAGTGTGTGCATACCAGTTTACTTGCTTTTGTGGGGTTCATTGCACCGACCGGTTGTAAAACGTGCCTGCGAACACTATCCAGCCAAGTCGGCCAAAGGAGAACGGATATATATTTTCAGTTCAATAACAGAACACTTCGGCAACTTAGATTCTTTTGAGAACTCATTCAAAGCCCTCTACTGGGTTGGATCAAACCACTAGAAGGAAGTAAGGTCAATGCATTTGTCTATAGCCGAAGGACAAACCATCCAGAAGTTTAAACCCGCGTTATCTGTCCAAAAAAGATACACCCAACCTTTATCTTTGCCATTGCTATCACAAGGCCTTGACTATCATAGATTCATCCTGTACTATGTAATTATACATTTATTTTCATGTTTGAACAGTGCAATGTATTTACGCAAAAAGCAATTCGAACTATTGGATCAAACAGGTACTTGTTATAAGTATTTATATGAAAATTTATGCCGGTGAGAAGTCAGAGAATGAAAAGAGATCAAATAGAAAGGCTGAATTGAAGGCCGAATAACGACGAAAGTCAACAGATCGAAAATAAAATAACATTGAACTTGGTTTTTATAGATGAATTCACCAAGGGAGATTTATTATGATAACAAATTGTTTATGAACACACAATGATGGTTCAAACTTCCTGATAGCTAAGGTCCCAACAAATTTAAGGATCCATTTCCAACATGCTTTATAAATAGGTGTAAAGGAAGTAGCCATATGAATCCTGTGACCTATCTCAATCACATGTTTCACGATTAACGAACTTGAAGGTCTGCTATCGACGTTTATGGGTTCACGTGATTTAATTTGTTTCTGAAGCTACTTTGGATCTGTGAGTTCTGCCTATGTATGTGTTACCACATGTACATTTGAATTGTTAGATGCAAAGGGATGTGACATTAATGTTCACATACTGTTAGGGTTTGGTAGATTATACAGGCTTGGTGATTTCTATTAATCGAACCCTAGCTGGATAGTTGGTCTCTGGTTAAAGATTGCATTATTAGATTCACCTTTGTATGAAAGACTGATAAAGTTATCTTTTTTGAGACACAATGAAGAGCTGGTTTTGCAGCCTGATATGTCTGGGTTGGGTATGATATGGGTTCAAACAATAAGCGAAAAGAGTAACAACGCAACAAGATACTTGGACTGGATACGAGTAATATGACTGTTCTCCCCCTCACTCAATACTTCACCGAGCCATAGAAATTAGAAGATAAAAGACAGTCCTGTGACAGACTTAAAGAAGATGATTTTATTTGACAAAAAACACACTATTTATATACAGTTGCTACTCAGAAAATGAAGCCACTAGATCATCAATCAGTTGGACATAAATCAAGGTCTCGAACGAAAATGTTTCTACCCCAACGGCGAATGACCTTGAACGATTTCCATTTTTGGCCACTTCCTAACAGCACCCTGGTTATTTTTTGTTGCCTAATAAATTTTGGCGGATAGTTATCTTCCAGCAGTCTTTCAGGGAATACTTTCCTCTCGTCTTTCAAATTATCGTCTTTACATATTCTCTGAATTGTATTGAATAAGCACTTAACTAATACTCTTTTATACTGAACTAGACAGAAGCTATGACAGTTCAAATATTGCCCTAACCATGTAAGTTTTCTGTAGATAGATCGCTTTATGGATCCATCCTGTCACCGACTTATTACTTTGTCCAAGAAAGGCAAGCAATAATTGTTCTCATCTACACATATCAAGAAAATGGTGCTCTGTACT